TCATAGACCTGGAATGTCAACCAGTTATTATGACTTAATCTCTTGTGACACTTTCCACCCAATCATAAGAGCATCAAGAATATCCCATCTCCCATCCTCTCCTGCCACTTCCCACTCTTCCTTAAGACCCTGCATCTCAGTAAGTATGCTTTTGAAAAAGGGTCCAATGCTTTGCAAAACCCATTAATGCCATTTCTGAAATTTTAGGGGGAAACTTGTCTCTAGTATATTAGAACATCTTCCTTGTAGGGCACAGAGTACACCATGTTCAACACAATCCTAATTCTCTTGACAAGAAATGAGAGGTACAAGACTTGAGTTTTCCAATGCTCAAGGTGCGTGCATATAGAGGAGGAGTGAGGGGAAGTGTTCATAGAGGCTCAATCATTTAATGAAACCAGCTAGTCTCCCTCTGTATAGAGTGAAAAGTCGCCTCCAGAGTATGAAATAGCCTTTCTCTACACTCCTGTATCTATAAAAGAAAAGGTTGCCATATCTGTGTAAGACATGCTCTAACTGGTACCCAAATTACTACTGTCAATAATGAAAAGACAGGTTAAATGCACAATATTAATAAAAATTCTTTTAAAATTGGTGCAGAATACACAGCAGCATTTGAGGTAATTTTTGAGAAACAGTGTGCAATTTCCACTTTAAAAGGATGGTGTAGCATCATGCTCCACCCAGGAGCTAAAGCAGTACATGAAGTGCAGAAGACATACCTTGCAGCAAGGGACCAAACAACTCAACCTGTTTTCTTTAAGAACTAAAAGGCCCTTACATGGGAAAGAGGTTAGTAATAGTAAGCAGTTTATGTTTCACAAGCAAACCAGTAGCTTCAAGAGATGGAAGCTGAAACTAGACAAACCCAAACTAGAAATTAGATAAGCAGTTTTAGGAATGCATGTAATCCAAAACTAAAACAACTTACCTGGAGCTCCAGCAAATACAATGTCATTTAAATTGGGCCCTCCCAACAGAAAAATAATTCTGTGTCTGAGAGGATAGTGGCTTGATAAATCTCACACTGTGATTTCTACTGTGGTTCCTTTTATACACAGTCTGATATTAGCATAGAATGGTTTGGATTGGAAGGGACCTTAAAGCTCATCCAGTTCCAACCCCCCTGCCATCAGCAGGGACACCTTCCACTAGATCAGGTTGCTCAAAGCCTCATCCAACCTGGCCTTGAACACTTCCAGGGAGGGGGCATCCACAACTTCCTTGGGCAACCTGTTCTACTGTCTGACCACCCTCACAATGAAGAACTTCTTCCTAATATCTAATCTAAACCTCCCCTCTTTCAGCTTAAACCCATTTCCCCTTGTTCTGTCATTAACTGCCCTTATGAAAAGTCCTTCCCCAGCTTTCTTGTAGCCCCTTCAGGTACTGGAAGGCCACTATAAGATCTCCCCGGAGCCTTCTCTTCTCCAGGCTGAACAGCCCCAACTCTCTCAGCCTGTCCTCATAGGAGAGCTGCTCCAGCCCTTGGATCATCCTGGTGGCCTCCTCTGGACTTGTTCTAGCTGCTCCAGGTCTCTCTTGTGGTCATAAGGATTTTAAGCCTTTATCAATCCATAGCAAAAAGTGTAAAAACAAGCGTCATGATTTGTCAGTGTTGACTGCATTGCAGTGTTCTGTCTTTGGACAAACGTAAACAGGGAAAACAGACTGAAGAAATGTACTTGACCTAAGTGAACTGTGCAGTACATGTGCTTAGTACAGATGTAGAGAAGGTCCCGTGTTATCTGAAAAAGCCAACAGCCAAGGTCACTGCAGTGTGAGAATGTGAGAACATTTTGGTGAAATCTGAACATTTGGGACACTTGCTAGAATTGTTCTTGGTTAATGAAGTGCATGGTTAGGATGTTGTAATGCATCATGACAGCAAAATCACCAATACAACCTTAGCAGAGTAATATGTGTAGCTAACAAGAATGATACATAATGTATTAACCAACATGGCTATGAAATGATAAAAAATTAAGTTAGTAATATTCCATTTTATTAAAAGGTTTGGCTCGTCAGAGCTTTTCCACAAGTGGTATTTCTAGATCCCGTGTCACCCTGCTCAAGGCTGCAATGAAATAGAGTAATAGCTTTCATTTTCAAAATAAAGAAGATAATCCTATCTCTTGGCATCTGCTTAAATAAAACTGATTTGCTGTACTAATCTTGCTTTAACAGATCAGAAATGAACGCGCCAAAGATAAGGCAAATAAATAGTTTCTATTTAATCTCAGTCTAATTTGCCTGCCAATGTGAAGTCTACTACAAATCAAGACAGAAAGTAGCCTGAAGCATTCATTTATTTTGTGCCAACAAAAGGAAGGCTTATCTCCACAAATTTGCTGACAATTTTTTGTGCCTCCAAAATAAAAATGCACTCCTTGCTCGCAGGAGGAGCAAAAGTACCTGAAGAAGGACGCGTGGAATACTTTCAACAAATCTTGCCCTGCTTCTGTGTCTCGGAGAACAAGTCTTATGAAAATAGCCATCTCATGAGATCTCACAGAGACGAGAGCAGAAACACTAACTTAGATCTCATGTTCTTTAATCAGGAAACAGTCTGTTGGGTTCAGCCAGCACTGCCCTGCTCTGATGCGTGTACGTGCAAACACGCAGCTCATCTGATGTATTTCAGTCAGTTGTAGTAACAATAGATAATATTTACTTTCGATGATTTGCTTTTGCTACCTCTCCAACTTCTTGCTGTGCAGCTTTCAAACAGCTTCCAAACTCCCTCTATGCTGCAGTCCAGAAAAGGACAAAACAAAGACAATGTACCAAGTGAGCTCTTCCACACATCTATAGCAGGGATGCTGAAGAACTGCCCAAAAGGCTCAACTTGTCACAAAGCTTAGTTTAATTTGACAGTCATCATAAGGCATCCATGTAAATTAAAAATTCCCACCAGGGTCACATACATTCTCCCACAAAATAAAACATGTTAAAACAGAGGCCTGGGATTCCAAAACATGCTAGTGGTTACTGGTCTTGGCCAGGCTGCTGCTGCTGGCAGTGGGTCCAGGAGACGCAGCACCAGCAGCAGCAACTCAGGAAGTGGAAAGTCAGCTTGTACAAATCTCTTTCAATAGAACAACAAATAAAAAGGAAAGAGATTTGTACAGAAAACATCCTTCTCCATCCTTTCTGGGAAAACAAAACAATGAAAAAGACAATCCCATTCAAGGAGCAAAGAGCAGAGCTTGGAGTTCTGAAGCCCAACAATGCTGATGACCCATTTTGAAAACTAATGAAGCACTACAGTGGCCTGAGTTTATTATTGCTTTATCCCAGTTCAGCCCAGGCTAAGGCTACAGTGAAGTCCAAATTTATTTAAAGCCAGAAAATGCAGATCCAGTAACAGCACCTAAGTCCCCATCCACACATGGGTGTAAACAGATTCTTTTGGTGAAAAAAAATTCTCCCGAATTTCCCCTCTTCCTGTGCTATGTAGATCCCCAGAGCAGGGCTAAAATTTGCCCCAAAGTATATAAGTTTCTCTCTCACATCTCCTTTAGCTGAGCCTCTTCCAGATGTTTCACCTTTCATTCAAACTAGTCCTCTAACCTGGTGATACACCAGCTCAGAGCTGTTTTGTGGGAGCTCACCAGGTGGCACACAGGTACCCACACCTTAAAAAGAACGTGGCACAGAGGATATGAACCATCACCTGTGCTCTGTGACACCCAACGATGCTTTGCCCTCAGCTTCCTGAGACCAAACGGCGCAGATGGAAGAGAGCATCTCCCCATCTCGCACGCCTGGACAGTGATCAAGAGAAAGAGCCTGCTGTGTAAATGAAATGGCATCTTCCCACCACCACCACAAGTCAGAAAACAGACTCAAGTGAAGTGGGGCTTACAGGTTTCACATCAAGGAAGAGAGTGCTTCCCTCACACTATCGTATGACAGGGCAACTGTTATTCAGGCAAACGTTATTCAAGGCAGTAAAATTTTAGCATGGATATCTCCATGGTTGACTTACAGGCCCAACATATGCCAGGGATCTTTAAAAAAAATTAAATTAAAGGTCCTGTTAATTCTTCCAAAAGGACAGAATAGAAGACACAGTGCATCTGATGAACACGTGCTACACACCCTAACACACTACCAAAGGCTGCAGCTAGACTTGTCAAAACAGTTAAAGAGATTTAGGCATCCAGCTAGTACCAGAATTGATGGCATTTAGGCACCTAAATTTAACTTTTTTGAAAATTCGAGCCTACACATTTCTTTATTGCTTGTCCCATTGAGTGCAAAGGGAAAACTGAGAGGGTAGGGTTAACTACAGAAGGATTTCAAATCCATCATAAGTTTTCCCTGCTCTTTTATATATATATTTATATATATATATAAAGCATTATTATTATTTAGCCACCTGGGGGCAGGAAGGAACAAGAGCTATTTAAAATTAGTTTCTTAATTATTTAAGCATTAGTCCCCTACCTCCCAAATCACAATACCTCTGTCACAGTATGGAGCGTAACATGAAAACATGTTTGCTGCCACTGACAATTCCTGAGTCTCTCCTCGGCAGAACTTCAGCCCAAATATCAGGATAATGGCAGCTTGACACATATATACACTCCCCAGCAACATACACACAGCAAGTAGGACGTGCCTCAGTGGCCTCAGACGTAAAGAGAGAAAAAGGAAAAAAATTCAAACCACCAACCAACAAACTTGGAGAAACCATCCAGAAGAGCTGCGGGAAAGGAAACTATCCACTTTCCACGGAGAAGCAACTGCCCATGAGTCCCTGCCCAGTATAAACCAAATAAAAATATCCATCCCACAGCTGAAGGAGATCTGTGAAACCTGGCAGTGTCACATGCTGGATACTTGAAGGCACATTTGCTTTGTGTTTTGGAAAAGAAATCCAGTTACAATAACACACTGTAGCTGCAGGGCTGAGGGAAAGGAGGCAACACCTGGTATCCTTCCTCTGTTCCTCTCTCCATTTTCAAGCTTCACGGCTGGCACAAGCTGGTGATCTAAGCAGACACATTAACATCCCTGAGTGAAATGGCACCATTTGTAGCCTCTGAGACTTTGTCCTCAAGCACCATTGCTGGTGTGTCTGTAGTGACTGCTGTAGTGTCTATGGCAGGAAGTGGATTCAAGCCCTGTGATAAGATCTGTTGGATGGTTTTCCGCAAATTGGGGTGCAGCTGGTTTTGGGTCTGGTAAAAAATTTCTAAGGCAAAAGACTTGAGGGTGCCAGTGCAAAGGTCCTCATAAAGTGGAATTGTGTACATCCGAGACATCTGCAAAAAAGGAAAACCAGATAATATCACTTCAAGAAAGTCAAGAGGTTCAGCTCTTCTACAGCTACACTCCAACAGCCCTGAGTGACTTCAGACTGGAGACAAGCAACACGTTTCTTCAAAAGACAGACAAGTCTATGCTAAGTAAGTTTAATGCAAAGATTTTTTACGAATGATAATAAAAAAAAAAACATTTGCTCTCCAAGAATGAGCTATTTCCACAAATAACAGAACTATTTTTAAAAGGCCAAGGAGAAGAGGCCACAGAGAATACGTGTTAACCTTTTGCTCCTGCACAATAAAAACTAGTTGTGGTGGATTGGCAAAGCCAGGACACTAGTGAAAGGAATTCAATGATCCCTAGCAACACAAAAAATGCACCGGGCAGAGCTGGGACAAGGGTATTGAGTTAGGCTAGAAAAGCAGAGATTATCTGTAGGCATTTCAAATTACATCTGCCCATTCCTCCCCACCCGCTAGCAGGTGAGCCATGCTCGGCCCCTTCGCAACACACCTGGTCTACACTTGGCCAGGAAGCAGAAGTTCCAAGGTCTTTCACGTCGCATGTCTCATGCACATGTCTCATGCACTGAGAGGTGCAGTGATTTTAATCCAGCAGTTAGTACCTGGTTTTCCAAGAAGCGACGGACTTTGTAAAGGTCTGGATAATAGTCATTTCGGACTACAATCTGCAACCAGCGGATACGGATTTCTGCATTCATGGAGTCCAGCTGAGAGGAGTAACATTCCGAAAGCTTTTTTATCACCTCTGAAGAGAGCACATACACAGAAAAAGAATTATGACCTATTCTGTCAAGTTTGAGGGTTATCAGAGAATAATGAATCACAGAATCACAGAATGATAGCATGGTTTGGGTTGGAAAGGACCTTGGAAGATCATCTAGTCCGGCCCCCCTGCCATGGGTAGGGACATCTTTCACTAGATCAGGTTGCTCAAAGCCCCATCCAACCTGACTTTATGTGAATTATAAGGTCAACAAGGGTTGGGGCTCTTTAGAATTCAATTACTTATTCCAGGATTACTTTTCTACTATCCTGATACTCACCATGTGGCAGTGGTGACCCATCCAGCAATCTGTCCAAGAAAAGCACGGTTTGGAACGTTCTCCATTTAGTGAGGTCAACACTGCTGGCAGCAGCAACAGAGTCCAGAGGCTCTGTGGTCCAGAGTTTGAAGAGCTTTTTGTCTCCACTGGTCTGGTCAGACTGGATCCCTGAGATAAGTCTGGCTCAGCTAATGGAGGTCCTGTAGCATTGAGCCAACGTTCAAACTCCAGTCCTGGAATGAGGAGCACCAAAAATGTCGAGCTGGAGTCTCTGCAGGTGGCTTGGCTGTCTCAAGGTTCAGGACTGCTTCTAGCACAGTTAAGAGAGGTTCTAACAATAGCAAATCAGACCAGCCTATAGTTACAGTGACATAACAGCCTCAGCAGTCTCATCAGGCGAGCCTACGCTACAGCTGCAAGAGTCCCAGCAACACCTCTGCCAAATTTAACCATGAGTTTGCTACAGCTCAACATTTTAGTGAGTAAATACAAGAGACACATATGCTCTTAAGACAGACAGGTTGACAAGTATCTATGATCAAACTATGTTCTAATACAAAATTTTTTTGTGCATGCATTTCTCTCTCTCTGAATTTTGAGGAAGACTGAAGAATATGGGGGAAACCTGCTTCATTAAAAAAAAAAAAAAAAAAAAAAAAACAAACCAAAGGATGTGAGAGGGCTGACTAAAGTCCTCCCACCCACCAGCAAAACCATGCAATTTTAAGTTTATTTATACAATCAATAACTAAAACAAAAAAAGTTTCTCCACAAGCAGCAGAGCTGGCAGAGCCTGGTTTCCAACAGAGCTCTTCCCCTTGACCCTCTACCACCTCAGCACATTTCCCAACTTCTCTGTTCCACACTATCTACCCTAAAACTCCTCTCCCCTGCATCCCCTGAATATTAGGCCAGGCAAAAGTTAGCATGTGCTGTGGTTAACTCACTGACCAACCAGTGGGACAAATAAAACACACAACTGCTGAGCTCAGGCCGCAGCTTTTCCCACAGTAGGCTCACTCATCAACACCTCTCCACAGGCCAGTTTCCACAGAGCCCATAGAAACCTCGTATCCTTAAGAGCTGTACTCCACTGCTGGTCTGGTTTAAACTGGCCACTGGGTTCAATAATTACTTGCAAGGATGGACACATGGCAGGATAACATCGGGCTCATTTCTTTGAGCAAGTGGGCTAATAAGCACCTAGTAGATTACAGACCTTTCATAAATCCACCAACAGCTATAAATAGGGGATATAAGAGAGAGTGAAACATTGTGGAAGAGATTCTACGTGCATGGATAGGACCTTGGTAACAGTTACAGTTCTCAAAACATGCTTTCTGTAATTAAAATAGATGAAGTTTCAAAGTGCATTCACCTTTTCCTTGCATTTGAGCACATGTAAATCTCACGTGCACTGATCATTCTGTCTGCAGTGTGAAAGGTGAGTTAATGAGAAAGTTAACTGAGGGCCACTCAGCTAGTTAATGCCAAAGCTGTCAGCAATTTAAAATGTTCTCATTCGCCAACATAGAGGCAGTAACAATACATCCCCACAACCAGTTTTATGATGAACGTCTTTCTGTTGCCAAAGGGTTTTTTTTGCCTTAGCATTTTCTTAGGCATCCTCCAAGCCAAGCACAAAATTTCTTATCCAGATTTTCTACAGTGCTGGCAGTTAACTAAGTAAATCACCTACCTGCTTTGCTCTCAACACATTGCTCTTTCAACTCTGGAAAAAAATTCAGGAAGGAATCCAGAAGATCCTGAGCCACAACACTGGTAAATTTGTACTTCTCAATATAGGCCTGAAACAGTAAAAAGGACAAATTATGGTTAGGAGAAAGACAGTTTCCTTTAAATGTAGAACCACTGCATGCAATTAAAAAAAAAAAAAAAAAGAGATGGAAGAGGGAGAACAAGTATCTGGAATGTTTAAAAATAAATAAATAAATAAATAAATTCTCCCTCCTCCTTGCAGATGAGGAAAACAAGATAAAAAGAAAAAAAACTGGGTTGCTGCAAATACATTAGCAGCTGAGTACAGGGGGCTTTTTTCTGATACAAATCACAGATACATTAACATATCAAGGGCAGGAAGGCTTCCTTGTACTTGACACTAGTGAAAAATCAGAACACAGCTGGAAACCGATAGATTATGGACTAAAGTCATACCTACAGAACTAAAGATAAGAAAAAGATGGAATGGGGATGGATGGGAAGAAGAGATGAAAAAACACACATGCAGCAAAAAGAAAAAGAAATTAGTTGTGTCACTTTTCAAAAACACATCAACAGCTGACATAATTTTCTACAGGTTTTGCAAATATGCTCCAAGATACAAAACCTGCCCCAATGCAGGAAACCATGTGCTGTGCCACTCTGGCTAAAAAACCCACAAGGTGTTACCATTTAGTAGTGAAAGCAGTCACATCACTCCAGTCATAGAGAACGTCTGCTGGAACAGCTTTTTAGTTATTTGGAGCACAGAACAAGAGGCAACAAAAATATACTACTACTCTGTATTTGGTACCTCATAAGCTCAGAATCTGAGACGAATGAAGAGCATGAGCATATTCACTTAAGAGAAATCTCAATAAAAACCTGTCACACAGAAAGAATCATACAGGATGGCAGATAGGCCCACACCATTCTTCCATCTCATACACACTTGTATTCAACTTTACCCCTATCAATTAGCCACACCGACAGAATCAGGGGGGAAAGCAGTTCTAAATCTCAAGAGAAACACAGCCTTATTCACACTCACTCTTAGGAAGGAGTCAAAGTGTCTTGGGTCACCACAGAGCTGGGACAGGTAGTAAACAAAGCAGTAGCCTTTCTCATAGGTGAAGAGGTTCATTAAATTACTAGGATTTACACCTAAAAGGAGAATACAACAATGTTATAAGACACTGTCCTCTAATGAGGACACTAATTTCCAACCCTTCCAAGTATACAGACCCCTTAAAGATCATCGAGATGTAGAGACTTAAAAACAAAACAAGCCTGTTGTCAGTGCATTTAATTTACTACAGTAAATTAAATGGAAGTCCAAACACACAGGCTGAAAAAAAATTAAAATTATTTAAAAAAAAATAAATCAATTGTTGTAAGCTAAGTAGTAATTCCCAATGGAACATGTCATTCCATGACTACTCTGTTAAATAGAAGTCACTGAAAACGCACCTGGAATTTGAAGACAAATCCTTTTTTTTTTTTTTTCAGTGCCAAACTCAGGGAATCAACATGCCACAAATTTTTAAAGGTATTAACATAAGGTAATCACTACTTGTTCCTTTTTTGAGACTTCCAACACATGCTTTTAAATTCAACTTGGTTCCAATATCATCTCTACTTGCATTTTAGGTTGTTTTAAATATAATCTAGATTGAAGACTGCTTCACACCTCCAATGGTGACCATCAGACTAGAGAACTATCGATGAAGAAGATCCATGATGCTGGAGTGTGGATGTGCATCTGGCTCAGGGGATAACCAAACAGCCTCTGCATAGCTCACTCAGCAGCAGAGCAAGTACGTATGTTTATCTGTGTGCTTATGCACATATACGTAGTTCTTACATGAACACAGAAACAGAGGAACATTTAATAGCACGGGATTTTATATTATGTTTCCAAATATTTTAATTATAAACTACTTTATTTTACATATTCAGAAGCTCAAAACCACACAGCTTTCAAGGCAGTTTTTCACACTCTCTTTCTATTCAGTGAGTCTGTTTTGTCCTTAAACAGAACAGTATTTATAAAGATGAGTTAGCCAACTTTGAAGAAAACTTCAAAGCAAGTTTCCTTATTTACTTTTACACTGGTTTACAAACCAGTATTTCTTTTCTTCTCTTTTTTATAAAAGATATGTAAAAATTAGGGGGTTTTGGTCTTTATTCCAGCACTGATACACAGAAATTTTGTGTACCGCAGTTTCAGCCAAAAGCAATACCTGGCTCCAGTTTAACCTGAAGCTTGCTGACCGGGTTGTCTTCTCCAAGGAGCTTCATCTGTCTGTGGAGAGCATCAAGGCGAAATGCAGTCTCCAAACATGTGAAGGCAGCTCCTACCCGAGAAAGAAACTTATTAGTTGTGGGAAGATGACTAGCAAAACCTGACCTGTGCAGAACTAGCACAGGTACAAAATAAAAGCTACCAAAGGTGTAAAAGACACAACAGCGAGACAGAACCACAGTAATGTAATGGCAGAGAAATCTGAGCACAAAAAATCCTTGCAATTTGTAATGAAAGTCAAAACCCAAACCAGTGCATTTACTCGCTCTGATCATGCAGCAGGCTGAACTGAAAAACAAAGCAGCATGAAAACTATGCTGAAGTTTACATCCCTGACATCATCTTATGAGTTCTTGCAAGATAAGTAGAGCAGCATTGGAATAAGTATTGCACAGGTAACTTTCAAGGAGCAATCAAGTGCTACAAAAAAGTAATGTCACTGGTAGAATAGCAGACACACGATTCCATATTCAGCGCCAAGGATATCACTAAGCAAATGTCACCTCTTGGGTGAAAACAAAAAAGGATCAGATTTAGTTGGTATATTACAGATCCTGTGGTTCTTTTTTAAGCTTCATCTAGCATCCTAACCATATTGTATCAAACAATTCCCACCTTCCTCTCATTAGGACTTCTACAGCTCTAACGGGGTAGGCTACTCTTTCTCCTTGATCTAACTGCAGTGTACAGCACTCCACGGTTTCAAGCCAAACAAGCTGTATGACACTGGCAAGTCAAGAGATCTTTCCTATGCCCTTGCAGATGTAAAAAAAAAAATGGATTTTCAGATTCAGAAGATGCTTAACATCCAGCACTATTAACACTTTAGCTTTCTTTACTAAGTCTTCAAACTCAACAACAGGGCTTGTTACAAAGATAAAATCTCAGAGTCTCAACGTACATACACAGGAACCTGATATAAGCAAAATGAGAATTAAGAACCAGGATATATTTGGAAGATAGAAAAACGTGTACTGGCAAAGAAAGAGGCAGATGTGCTTCCCAGGGGAAAGCAAGAATCAGTATAGCTAGTGTTAAAGGCAATTACTTCAAGCTACAGGGAGGAGGATTAAGCAAGATCCAAGAGGTGTGGCAGTCAATGGACTCCAGTTTCTGTAAACAATGTCATTACAAAGATGCCTTTTTATTAACAGCAGAAAATGCTCCAGAAATTATGTCAGAAATGGCAAGACAGATCAGAGGTTTGTCTTAGAAATAAAACAGAATGCAAAAAGAGGTTACTAAAGAATGGCACAGAGAAAGGCATTTCTTAAGTTTCCTGAACAATTGTTTCTTGAAACAACCAGTTCTAAATTTCAAGAGAATAGACCAAAATCAGCAAGGATCTTGTGCTATGTGAGAGGGACAGACTAAGAAGGGATAGAGAACAAGCCAGTATCTTCTGACCTATTCGTATCATTGCCATGCATAACAGAACGTGACTAAAGAACAGTGCTAACCACTGAGAACTACTCAGCATAAAAAAAGCTTTCAAAGATATATAATATACATTGTAACATCTCCATATATGCTCAGAGCACTTATTTCCCTGAACTTCATTATCATCATCTCATCTCCAAAAACAATACACATGAATAAAAACAAAGGCATCCTTCTAAACACTCTTGCTGCCAAGACTTCCAGGAATTTTTCCAAGATTGTTTACAGTGGATGCGTGAGAATCCACATGGTACAGGCTTTTAGGAACATAACAGGACAAACTAGAGAAGTGTATGTTTCCATTACTCACTTCAATAAAAACTCAATGTAAATGAAAAGCTACAGGAATTATTTACTACTTACACATTCTAAAGACAGTACCATACAACTGACTCGTGAAATTCACTGGTATAAGCAAAGGCAGGTTGTACAATTCTACAGGAAGCCTCAAGCAGGTAAACAGAAAGCTACATAGGTGCATATGTTGGAGTTTGGTTTTTTTTTTTTCTATGTACTATTGCCATCATTCTTTCCAATGGTAGCTACTAACTGATCAGGATTTAAAAGACACTGGTTCAGAGGATAGTTATTTCACAATGTAACCATGGTAAGATTTCTTTCATCTTTCTCTGAAGCATCCTCTGCTCATCTTGCTCTCACATACGAACACCCGCCTGGGACCCAACAGTAGTTCCAAAAATTCCTACAAACATCCTTACAACACTGTGCTAACACACCTCACTCAAAGCCCCTATTACCGTATCAGGCACTGATTCCACCCAAAGCTAAGACAATGTCATACTCCAAGCATCCGAGATGTTCAATGCAAAGCCTGGGGCCACGTGTGTTCCAGAAATAGAAAAAGAAAACCAGCTCCCTTTGAGGCAGACCTTTGAGCTCCCAAGGCAAATATTCTATGCAGCCAACTCTCAGTTATTGGTTAGACATAGCACAAGGAGAAACATGTCTGCATCTATACCATAGGTCTCAGTGGTGATCCGGCGCTGTGCGTATGTGGCTAGCCCCTCGCTCAGCCACATCTCCTCCCACGTCGCATTGGTGACCGCATTTCCAAACCAGCTGTGTGCAACTTCATGAATGACGTCAATGATCAAAAACTCATCACTCTCCAGAATGGAAGAAATTATGAAGGTCAGGCATGGGTTTTCCATGGCAACAATAGGGAAGGATGGAGGAAGAAAAACAATGTCATATCTAAAATTAGGGAGAGAGAAGAGAGAAGAGCGGAGATATGTAAATTACAGCTGTTTCAAAAGACACACAGTAGCTTTTTTTTTTCCTTTAGGGAAGGCTCTTCTGAGACTTTTTTTGTGACTTCAGGAACAAACTTTCTAGACCAGTGATGCCTAATTCTTCTGCTCAGAAGAATCACAGAGTTTATTCTGTTGGCCAAGAACCTGCTCATGTTTGGACATAAAGACTAGACACTCCTTTCATGTACAGCAGACCCAGCACTTCCCAGAAGCATCATGCTTGTGTATCTGAGAGACATAACCACTAAGCTTACTCTTCATACACTACCCACATACACAGTGTTGAGCCTCCCCAGAGGCTCCCAGGAAAGAGAGGCTGGGAAGCTACCAAATGAATTAATTGATTTGGCGTACCTGCAGGGTCAGCAAAATTACTCTGGTCTGTCTGCTCCAGAATGTATCAATACTATTTGTTTTGTTTTCTAAATTTCTCCACCAATGATCAGCACTGGCACACTGGGCCTTGTTCTCAGAACATTTCAAGCAACATTTTGTAACTTAACAACACATTCTTCCTGCCTACCTTTAGCAAAGACATATAATAAGCCTTTGCAAACATTTTCTCACATCCAAAGAATGAAAATATTGTCTCAAAACCACCAGAGTGGACTAACACATAGTCAAGCTTAACTGCAGAAACTATTAAAGGTGTTTTTATGGACTAAGACTCTCAATGACTCTGTACCAAGTCAGGTTTTCAGCCTCCTCAGGCATCCCACAATAAATACATCACATGTCAAGTACCACATGTAAAAATAAATAAGATAAATAAAACTGCCATACATTTTAAATGGTGTCTAGCCCAATGTCGGACTTGCATCACAAAACACTATAGTATAAAAAACCTTCACTCCCCAGGGAGGATCCACTCTTTAGAAATCTACAGTTCTGCCCACCATACCAGGCAAAACACCACTGTGCCTCCACGGTCCTCTCTGACACTTGCAGAGACAAAACTCCAGAGTTTGTTTCCAACTACTACAGTGCTGCCAGTTGAGAGGCTTGTTTGTCCTGCTATTGCTAATGTAGGGAGGAAGCATGATAAATTCTCAAGACTGTTTTATTTTGTTCCCATTACACACTCCTAGGAGATTTATTAAACTCACCTTCCCCATATATATGGCCCATACAGACTCTCTGCAGCAGTCAACCAGCGCTCAACCATGCCAGAAAGCTTGCTGATGGCTGTTGGCAGCAGGCAAGGCTCTGCCCACACTCTGCTCCTGTCAGAAAACAGAAAACATCAGGTGATACTTCAGCAAACTGAATTATCTCTTAGAAAAAATAGCCCGAGTTGTCACCACACTTCCATGTATGGTAATAGTGCTAAGAGGTCTCACATCAGACTCAGGTAGTCTTTAGGCTAATGCTCAATAGATACATGACAAGAGATAATCAAAGATCTCTTACATCACCTTAAGGCAATGAGGCAAGTAGCTGTAATGACTACAGGGGACAACAAGCAACATTTATGAAAGAGGGAAAAATCTTTGCCAGTGCAGTGCCATGCAGTTCTTTACACCCAACTAAACCTCAGACTCTGAATGCTCACAGCTTACAGTCCCAACTATTCCCTTATCCATGACTCAAAGCATTTACTGCTTATAACTTGAAGCACTGCACAGAGACACAAAAAGCAGATCAACTCACTGCAAATCTTACCTTGGACCTATGTCTGCATGTATAAGGTCTCCTGCCACCAGGGCCACTAGGTAGGCAGGAACTGGATATTCCATGTAAAATTGATAGACACCTTCCTCTTCTAAGTAGGTACTTTGGGTGGCACTCATCAGCACCTGTATGCCTGCTGGAGCCTGGAAGACCAACATCAACTTACTAGATGATCACAGCTGAATGACTACACCACAGATATCTGGGTTGGTTTTTTTCCACCTATGCCTAAGAGCATGTATATTAAAAACAAGCATTTTGATAACACGAAACGTAAGATTTCTGTTGGATTTTTATACCACAATCTATCCAGCTCATGAAAACATACCAATCAAAAATATTACTCCTCCTATATTGCCTGAGTTCTTTTGCCAGCTCCTCCAAAAATGCCCACATATCAAATTATTTAATCCACACAAAATGCAACATTATTTGTTGCTGCTTTCATAAAACTCTGGTTTTTTTCCTTTCAAGAACTGATAAAATACAGTTGAGTATTATCATCAGTAACCGTTACTGGAAATGACTAGCCAAATTCTCTCATATTATCCATTTCATGGTTACTCTTTCAACTTTGAGGACGAGGAAGGGAAGACCCAAGCATAATAGGCAACAGAGTTGCCTTTGTGGCAGTACCACGATTCTGGCCCAAGAACCAGAATGGGATCTAAAAAATGCAGTATTTTTTATGACAGTAACTGTCACAATGAATATTTTGTATCATACCTACACAATGTAACTATGCTTCCACAAGTCAACAGCAGCTGAGTGCTTCATGGACCATTTATATCCACGCGGTCACTTACCTTGACAGTAGCTGAATAGGTACACTTGACTGCTGGTGTGTCGAAGCAGGGGAAGAAAGACCGGTTACACACCGAGTGGCCCTGCGTGAAGACAAATGGCTTGGCATTGCCATACGTCAGTTCTGGATCCAGCCACCAGATCTGTTGAAACATGATGTGAAGAGGAGGTGAGGGAAAAGGACAAAACCACAAGGATGAACTGCCAAGAAACAAAACCTGGAAGCAAAAGGATTGTGGAGGAGGAGCCGTTTGCTCACCAGGTGCATACCTGGCACAGGGCATATTTCCATTTCTAACAATACATCTTTCTACTCCTGTTTATTTGCCGTGACTACTCGGAGTAGTTTCTCACTGTCTGAGCACTGAGCGGTGCCACACAACTTAGTGTCTTCCAGCCACTCGCTATTTCTGTTGTATTGATTTGCTTGGTTAATAACAAGTCACTAACAAACATCCACACAACCTTCTTCTCACAGGAAGTACTCTAAATACCTTCATGTTTTTAATTCAACATGAACAGGAATAGTAAGGGTCAGGTAGCACAAACTAAAAAAAAACCAAACAAACAAAAAAAAACACCTGCAAACCCACAAACCAAAAAAACCCTGAGGCTGAACAGTGTACACAACACTATCTCTGACCCTGACACTGTCCTGCTGGTTGAAGCACCAAACATTTTGACACTATGCAAAAAAGCCAGTATATGTAAGAAACATCTGGTCAATGACACTGGAGGCCTCTTTTTACAGAGCGGATAAGGAGATTCTGGGTGGTCACAAAAAGAAAACAAAAAACCCACTGCTGAGCATGTCAATTCTCAGTATCAAACAGCAAATAAATCATGAGTCAGACTCTCAGCAAATAATTAGAACAGATCGAGAATAATATGAAAAAGTGCAGTTATTTGCCTTTTTGGCTTTTCTGTTTCCAATGTAATGTTTATGCTTTCACATGCTCCCTGCCTCCAACTTTGAAGTGTAGGAACAATTTCAAATAAGGATTTTCTTGTAATCCTAGAACTCTGGAGCTGAACTTTTATGGAAAATATCAAATATTGTGAAACTTGCAATAAAGTTGGAACCACTGCAAGTCTTGGGAACAGTCAAGCACAAGAAATAAAACTTCTGAGTCTGCTGAACTCTTAGATCAAAGCAACCAATAAATCTGAATTCAGGGAACAGCAGTTAGTGCAGACACTAGATCAGTTCTGGTCCTCAAGAGAAAGCAACGAAATACTTACAGAAAAGAAGCCTGGGTACTATGTCTGCTCTGGTTTTAATGACATATTACAATTCTGCCTCCTAGTTAACCTCTCTGTATTCTGGAAGTCAAAGTTTTCTCTGTCTCCCTCTGTCCTATAAGGTTATTTGTTTTCTTCTTCCCTTGCCTTTAGGCCCTTCTCCTCAGATGCCAATGTGCTCTTCTCCCAGATCATTCGCTTCAGCAGCACCCCTGGGGATCAGTGAAAGGTAAGGCAAGGAAACATACTGTCAGCAGCTTTCAGTTATTCACACAGAAGTTCACACTTCCACTGGCAAATGGGGTTTTTTTAGGTGGGAGGCATTACAAAATGAAAACCCTTTATCTACTAGTTAAATTATTATGAGAGCAGCATTCTTGTCTTGAAATTTGTGTTTAGATCACCCTCTTCTGTTTCAAGCCTGTTGGGCCAGAAACATGCTTAAAGCACTACTTCTGACGAGCCTTGCCTCACTTACACCACGAGGGAGAAGGCTACACGACTGTTCAAAGCCACATGCTGCATTTTGGCAAAATCCCTAGCTCACAGCTGAGGTGCACCACACAGCTAGAGATTTCCACTCCATGAATACCTGCATTTCACAGCAATATTTATCACCTCTGTGATGTGACATTGTGGAACTGGAGACAACCATTCCAGAAGGTATTTGGGGACATGTCTCATTAAAACCCACAGTCTGAAACTAATAGCTTCCAGCTAGAACACACATTCACATAAAAATCCAAGTGCTATGTTTTAATCCATGGTAGTAGTTTTCTAAAGAGGCTCAGAAACTAAGTTTTCAAAGACCTGCCTCAATGCCAACTTTTAAAAACACTCCTCTGATCAGTGGCTTTGTGCTTGTATCAGGAAAAGTCTGACTTACAAACTGTATCATCTGCCCTGCTGAAGAGACTCACCTTCAAAAGGTTCTGTTTCCTTTGCTTTCTGAGAGAAAGAAAAGGCTAACAAAGAAAATGGAGAGAGATAAGACACCACCAGACCTAAGTTACAAAACTAGAGTAGGAAGGAAAAAGGGTTGACAGATGATGTCTTTAGAGCAGAGAGATAAGGGGAAGTTCTCCCTGACCAATGCAGGAAGAAAACATAAGCAGGAAGCAAAAGGGAACTGAGAAGCTGATTCTTGTTTACAAGAAACTCCATAAATTAAGGACAATTTATTTTCAACCAGTCCCCCTTTATTTGACATTTGGTTGAAGTTAAATGAAGCACCAGCCCCACAGGCCAAGAGGGAAAAAACATTTGCAGAAGATGAAGTATTTTTTTCCCCCCATTTCCTAATGTCTGCAGTTACATGGCAAGCCTGTGTCTCTCTTTCCAGATGCACTTGGAACAATGATGAAAGTTATCCTGAAACAATATAAATAGACCTGTAATATAAATAGCCCAGGCTGTGCTGCCGGACAGAGGCAGGACTATGGACTGGGGAAAATGAGTACAAGCAGCGTCCCAGGAAGGAGTGGAAGGAGCAGGGTACTGCTGGGGGTGGCGGGGGTGCAGCACACAGGGACAGAGCAGCAACTGGGGACACAGCATCTACTTTATATCCAAATCCCTCCTGTCCTCCCCTTTGGAAATATACATTACATCATCATGATGTTCACAGTTTTTATCTAGTTCTTCATATATACAGGACTGTTTCACACATTAAAGCTGTTCTATGGTGCATTTTAAGTAACAACTGCTGCTTAGCTCCTGTACAGAACAGAGCCTTTGGGCAGGCCAGGCTTCCCCCTTCCCACACACTGCAAAGAAGGTCACTACTTATAAGGCAGCTGCCAATAATTTAATTTTTGTTGTCTTAGATGATAATCTTTTACTCAAACACAGCAAATGATAAATGCAATTAGCTAAGGTTCCTTCAATTTTAAATTTCTCCATGTTTCTACCTGCATTACTGATGAAGCTCCCAAGAAAAGCTGCAACGCCAAAGCTTCTGTTCTAGACAAACAACAGGCTGCTCCATCCGATGACAAAGTAATCTGCACATCTGAGACACAGAGGATGTGACAGGACCAAGGCACACCTGGACACCAGGTCACTCTAGGAGGACTGAGGAATCTAACAGAACATCAAGGAAGTTTCCAGCACTGCAAAAAGAGCTGTTCTTTTTGCTAAATCCTGACGATGAGGAAATGCTGCCACTTTTTATACCAGAGCACAGAGCAGGGTTTTCATTTAAACTTGTCATGGAAAGAAAATATCACTGGTGTTAACACGGGCACTGACAAATCAGAGACGTGACACAGTGGGCGAGAGACAGATGTAGGTATTTCCCTCTAGGGGAAAAAAAAAATCTTATGAAAGAGTATTTGTAGGACCAAGAAGTAAGGGGTGAGGGAAAAGAAGGGGAGGAAGAGCAGGACTACTGTCACTGACACACCCGACCAGCGTGTGCCTTCGGCCCACACCAGGAGAGATACACAATGTTTATGACAGCCTTGCTTCTGATGCAAACTGGTGATGTACCGAGCATATGGTTTCCTAACAGAACAGGGAGCTGGAATGCTCTGTGAAAGGCAGATTTAATCTCTCAGCTGTCTCTCAGTGTCCATCAAACAATGAAAGATCTTGGCTCCTTCCTCCACATGAGAAATAATGGGACAGTCAAATAACATACCCAGATGGCTCAAATCAAGTGTATCAAGGCAACAGGTTTCCAATTTTAAACAGACTACTATCCCTGCTGCTGATCTTACTGCCAACATGTCTGTGCTGCACCATAACATTAATTTACTGTTTTATAGGTCCCACAAGTATGCTAAGGGTCCCATAGAAAATAAACCCTGACCTAAAAAGAGTACATTTAGAGAAAAGCCAAAGAAAGTAGAACTTTTAGAAGAGAGAGGTCTAACGCTGTAAGGTTGCTTTATTTATGCTGAGAAAAGGGACTGTGAGGAAACGTACTAGACCTGAGTATAAACCAGTTCACCCTTATACACACATGGGCTACTCATCCCTATTAAAATGCAACGCTAGGCTGAAAAACAGCACTGACAGATAGTGCTACAATAGCACAAAATGACTCTGATCCAAAAAAAATAGTTCAGTGTGCTGACCATGAAGTGCTAGAACAGGTGCTACTCGAGGACAAATATTTTGCCAGCCAAAATCTACAATAGTGAGTGAGGAAACGTGGTAGGATTTATGTCAGCGAGCACATGCTGCCTGCTTCTGCTTTTCAGTATCACTTGAAAAGGGCAGCGCACGGCCCTGACGCTGTCATCATCAATAATCTTCTGACGCTGGTCCTTGTAGCTTCATTTCAGCTGAAGCATTACATACTGTTAAAGGTACAATAAAGACTTGAAAAGACAGGATGAAGAATAGGTAGCTCACATCTGATCCAGGGGAAGCAAGATAAACAAGAGGGAATGGAAAAAACGCCCTGCTCTCAGCATCCTCAAATACGTAACGTTCACGCTGGATTGTGTGCAGGGCCAAGGAGGCAACGTGTTAACACAAGGTGAGTGTGACTACATGCACATCACATCAAACACTGCCCCGTGCTCTGCACCTGCCAGTGGTTTTCAGCTAACTTCTAAAGCCCAGTCTCAGATCAGTATTCCGTTACATCTGAGATCATTTCTCCATAGACGCAGCAGGACAGTCTGCCCCTTTGGCAACAGGGCTGGCAAAACCCAGGAGGAAAGCACAGGCTAGCCTGAAATAAAACAATTTGCTCCAGAGGAGGAAAGTACGTTATCGTGTACTTCGGGAAGCATGGCTCAGTCAGACTGAGCATGATGATAGAGCACACAGCAACACCAAACTAGCTTTAAAGCCTTCCCACTGTAAACAAGGCTTAGAGTGGACAAAAGAAACAGATTTCTTCATAAGATCTTGAAAAAAAAAATAAAGAACAGAATCTTCTGAACACGATGGGCCCTTA